ACTAGGTCCGTACTTCGTCACTCACTTCACTAGATTAGTAGTAGGTCGGGCGGACGGAGTTAAATTAAGTTGTCGTTACTTTAGTCACGCGTCTGTATGTTACTTTCTTTTCTTTCTCTCTCTCTCTCTCTCTCTCTCTATCTATCTATCTACCCACACTCTCCTCCCCATTCTGACATACATCACTGCATTCCCAATATAGAAGAACTATACAATTAAAAGTATATAAAACTGACATACATCACTGCATTTCCAATTTAGGTCTAGTGAACTAGTGTACTCTAAACGATTGATAGAAGAACCACAAATTTGTGTATTAGAGTTTCTTGGAATACAAGTTTAGATGTAAAGAGGTCTTTGTACTATTGTTAGCAGAGATGGATTCAGTAGATGAGGGTCATCATGCTAGCAAGGTTCCATAAATCGGATCATCGTAGTTATTAACGGGGCTAATCCTTTGCCTTGAGCTTTTGTTATATATTCCTTGAAGTTATAAACAGTTTATAGTGCTATACACTGTTAGCAGTGTGCATGTTAGAGATGTACATAAAATACCATGTGTATGTGACAGAAAAGAAGACTTTCTGTGACATTGAAACCAAACAAAAAATCTGTTCAGATTGTCTGTAACATTGATAAAAACATATATGGTTCAAGTAGAGAAGAATGAGATCAGCATGGGAGCAGCATTAGCTGTTAATTCTGTGACCAGATAGTCAATTGTAAATACTGATGCTATCACATTAAAATCGGAGAACCTTCCTATCAGTTCCTAAACATCAAAAACATAAATACCTTTTTAGTCCTTAATTACCATGGAAAGGGCAATAAAATCACAATCCCATTTTTTTATCAAACATAGAGTTTGTCCAATAAACAACAAAAATAAAAGTTGCTGCATTAAAGAAATGCAAATGCTACTATTCTAAGCATACACTTTGAAAACTCCTTTCTCCTTAGTTACTTACATGATCTCATACAGGCCAACAAATAGATACCCATTGGTAGTTAATCAATTTGCATAACTGGACGTTCAAATTTCTTATAAAACATCAATCTTTTTATCTTGAATAAACTCCGAGTAAATTCAATTGATTTTTCATTAAGCTGACAATTCAATCAATTATTGGATTTAAGAAATCAAATATTATCCTGCGTCAGCACCATTACTGTGGTTTCTAATATCTAACCACGTTGATCAAATGGGCTAAAGCAGTGTGAGAGTTGTGCAATCAACCAAAAACTAATAAAAACTAAAAAAAAAAAAAAAACCTCTTACTGAAAACATTAATTAACAAAAAAAAAAAAAACGATAGCTATTGCCTACAGTCATTTCATAGCAATATGAATGCCCTTATGCCATAGCCACACTTCACTAATACAAAGAACTAGATGCCCACATAAAAGTACGAAATGAACCGAGAAAAATGTGGGGAATCACCATTTTAAAGAAAGTTTACAACTGAAAATAATAGCCAACAGTAAGAAGTTTTTACCATGATTAATTTACAGAAAATCACCATTAAAACATTAAACCCCCCACATAAAAGTCCCTAGAACTTAGGGTTCTATTTATTTGAATGCCACTGAAAAAGGGTCCCAATAAAAACTCTAGGAATCCCATCCAAAAATGTTTGAAGGAACCCAATCAACCATTCCATATGGATAAAAACTGCTTTACATACCTGGTTTGGAGTTTTCAAATGGATTTATTGTTGGTGATATTGGGATTTTGAGCTTATTCACAAATTTGGGGGTTTCGAGCTAAATTGATTTGTTTATTTGGAGCTTCTGAACTTGCAGTCGTCTTAGATCATAGATTGTTTTTAGGAGCAATGAGAGGGAGAGAGGGAGAAATAATGATTGAGGGAAAAAGAGAGAGGGAGCTCGTGCAGGGAGGGTGAGGGAAGAAGAGAGAGGGAGAGAAGAAGTGTGGAATAACCTGGGTGGAAGAGGATGGGGAGGAGAGAGGGAGGGATGGAAAGGAGAGAGCAGGTACAGAATGAGATGGAGAGGAGAGGTTGAGAGAGAGAAAGTCGTAGAGGGAGAAGAGAAGGATGGGGAAGAGAAGGGATGGGGAAGAGTGTGTGGGTGGAGATAGAGAGAAGAAGAAAAGTACGCGTACAGGGACTGCAAATTAAGCACAATTTAAATCTCCCTCTTCATTAAAATTCATTGGAATGGATGGCAGGTAGGCCATTAGCACATTGGAGGCCAAGGAATGCTTGGCGAGTTTTTCATATATATATGTGTGTGTGTGTGTGTGTGGCTACACATGCACAAATATGCGTACACACACACATAGATAGTACTATGCTGTTCTTTTTTTTTGTTATGTTGTGGGGTTGTACAGACCCAAGGTTTTAAAGCTTGCTTCGGCCAAGGTACTTGGCCCTTACCCGCGGTGAGTAACTCGGCTGATTCCAAGTGGAGCCGAGTTATGTACACCCCAAATGTTAAAAAGTCAAAAAAAGGGAAAAAATTTATAAAAAGTTGTTAAGATCAGAAAAATTAAAGAGGTAATTGAAATCATTAGTAGACTAAAGAATATGATTTTTTTAAGTATGAATTATTGAGAAATATGATTTATACTTGAATATTTCGGAAGAATTTAACACAATAAAAAGCCATAAAAGTATATTTCAAAAAAGAAAAAGAAAAAGAAAGTTCCCAGATCATCTTTGAAACCATCAAAATCATCTAAAAGCATATTTCTAAATAATAGATTGGTATTTCCACTTTTGTTTTTGTATTTTTTGACATTTTTTATATTTTTAGCTACTTTTTGCTGCCCAATGAGTGGGGCACCCCAATTCACACGCAACTTGTTTTGCCAATAGGACGAAGAGTCTAAAACACTGGTTTTACCTTCTGTGATAATTACAGTGGGTTTCTGAAACGAATGGAAAGTAATTTTTACAAGCACTTGTGGTGTACGGACATGGTGCAGCTCTCATTTAAAATTCCAACTTCCATGAATAGATGTTCCATTGAACTCATCATTATGCATTCATTTAATAGAATGCTTTTATATCTGGAGTGGCTAGGTTAACAACTGTTGTTTTGTGTATTGAAATGTAACGAGGTTTTGGATTTTATAGCTCTGTGGAACTTCCTTCTCTCATACACTATAGTGAGGACCCATTGCCATTTAGCACAAAGACTACTTGGTCCCTACTTCTATGGTTATCTTTGGAGTCGTAGATTTCTCATGCAAGGCACTGCATTTCAGGTTTGATGATATTGCCATTTGAATTTGCAGGTGAAGAAGCACATCAAGCAGGGACAGGGTTATGAAGGTGGGATTTTCACTGTGGAAGCCCCTCTTCATGTTTCCAATGTCCAGGTGCTTGACCCAGTCACAGGGTATGAATTTGTTTGAAGTTTGATTGAATATGGAAATAGTCTTTGATATCAATAAGCTGTGCTTCAATTTGTTTATTTATTTATTTATTTTTAAATTTAGTTGTACCTCATGGAACCATTTTTTTATTACCAATTTGGCATTTGCAGTAAACCTTGTAAGACTGGAATCAAGTACCTAGAAGATGGCACAAAAGTACGAGTCTCTAGAGGAATAGGAACATCGGGATCCATCATTCCTCGACCTGAAATCTTAAAAATAAGAACAACATCAAGGTCCAATATAGGTAAGCATCAGAACGTTCATTATTAGGACAAATAGCATATCTTACAATGAAAAGTTCTTTGTTCTGGTACACTATATTTATTTTCTATACATTGTGCTTAAGTACTATACGAGCTGATAATTTACCACCTGTCATGTACTTGAGTTTGAGTAGTGTCTTTAGAATGTTTAATGAGAGATACGTTGTAAAAGTGGATCATATTGTGAACATCTCTTAATGTTCTTTTGCATGACGTTCTATTCTCCTATTTGGTATGTTATCTTTGGAAACTATTATATTCTGTTTCTATTTCTTGTCAATGATGTTATTGCACTACTTCTATTTCTGTCTTCTTTGTAGTTTCTTATATGATGATATCACAGTGTTGGGGAAACATGAATACCTACACGTCTGAAAGAGAGAAACATCACTAGCCTCTGTGCCCATGCATTCTGTAGTTCTGTACCCAAAGGACCCGCAATTACCAACAGACTATCACGATGCACATCACCATAGCAAGTACATCGGCTTCAACATTAGCTTCCCTTAATGATGAAATGAAGTAGATTGGTGTGAATTACTTGGAATCTTATGACAAGTAGCTATTGCCTTAATCGGTGTCTCGTCACTATAGGGGCAATGTATCAATCTCTCAAGCAAAGCTATCACCTCTGCGTAGTAAGTGTAATGAACCTGAAAAGGATAACAAAATACTCCAATCAGCATTTCTCACTGGGCCCCCGATACCCCCTGGGCCGGAGTTACTTTTAGAACTCCCATCAAATTTGTACTTCAATGACTCTATTGGTGGTATGGACCACTCCATACTCATTCTTGTAGTAGCTCGAGATGAGAAGGCTCCATTTTTACAGACTCTGAGAAAGTCTGCCACTTGAAAACCTTCATTGTTTAAAAAACCAGCCACCGAGCACTATGTGGCCTCCCCTTTGCTCTCAGGGGGCTAAAACACCCTCCTAGGCCTAGGCAGGCCTAATATCAACATGTTCCTGGACGGGTGAACTGGCAAGCCAAGGGGAGAGCTCAAGCCTATGCATCTACTGAGGTTGCCTCTTGTAAGAGGTCGAAATTGCCCTTGGGAAAGGGCATTTTGGTCATTTCCCCCTCTTAAAGGGGTTTTCTAATCCTGAAAGTTGATTTTAGGGCTTATAAAGAAAAAAAAAAAAAAAAAACTTGGATTTATCAATGTTTTTAGATCAAAAGAATTCAAAAAGTTTGAGAAGTATCTCAGAGCTTACTTTTTAAATTGGATTCATTGTGAACTATCTAAGAGGTTAAAATATGAAAGTTTGGGTGATTTTGAGCTTGATATCCATCCAAAACATTCAGGACCGAAAATGTGATTATTTACTGATTTATTACATTTGTGAAATGAATTCATTGACAATGTGTTTTCGGCACAAACATGCACTCACACACACATACATATAGGAAAAGTGTTTTGTATGTCAGGGCCTGCACCTATTGTTGTGTGGTCGTGACATCTTCACCATCGAATTGTATTGGACAGTGTAGACCATTCTCCCTCTGCTTTTCTCGAAGTTTGAGACAGATCTATACTGTCTCAATTGAATGGACAATATAGAGAGTGGGAACCCCCCTTGGCTGCCTAGGCTCCACTCAACAAATTTTTTAAGCTTGGATACCTTTAAGCTGAGGTCTAGCATAGGCCTAAACTAATGCTTGGTCTCTGATTCGTGCTTGAAGAGCAATCCTACCAATGTTCTACACTCTGAATATCTCAATATTTCTTTCCTTCCCAATCCCCCATATGATAACAACATGACATAACTGGGTCAATATGCAAGCACTATCTGAAAACCAAATATAAAACGAGATCAAGGCTATCTCTGAGGGTGATGCAGCACAAACCATCCCAAAGAACACTAGCATGAAGTACCAAATTGCCCCAGCATAGCTGCAGTGCAGAGGTAGATGTTCCATTGTAATCCTCCCAACACATGATACACATGTTTGGCGGTTGGAGACCCTGGTGATCCACCGTAGGAATACTATCATGACAAACTTGCCAACTGAAAGTAACTGCCCTCAATAGAGCTCAAATATGCCAATCGGGTCTGTGAGGAGGCAATCCACTGGTTTCACCTACCAATGCATGATATAATGATCCCTCTGAGAACTGTCACCGGCTCTTCAAAGACCAAATCCTCTTATCCTCTCATTTAAGGCTCTAAGAGGACTATACAATCCATCCAAGGCAGTCATCATACTTGCTAACTGCAACTGAGGCAGTGAGACCTCTTCTAAAGCGTGACCACTGCATCAACTGGCCCCCTCCCCATTCATGTATTGTTTTCTAAATGTGCATTCAAACTTCGAGAAACATTCTGTTAAGGTAACTCCATATTGGATCTCACGAGTGCCCTACCCTCCCAATAAGCATTGGTTGCTCCCTTCTAACTCCCATAATGCACTAGGCTTTGTAGACAATATCCGATATATATCCTCTCGGTCTTTATTTTCCATAAATTCGACCAACAGCATTTGTGCATCATTGATGGTGTCACCATTGAATGAAACTATCCATGAAGATGCCATTGTGTCTGAAATGAGGCATTAGTGACAAAGAGGCAGATACCTTGATTGGATTTGGATTGGACTTTGGTTTAAATATGACTCTGATCCGAGGCTCCCAAGTTCTTCCATTAGGGATTGGAGCTGATCTCATGGTGAAACAGTCAGTTGAATCGATAAGACGTTTCCATGTCTGTCTCACTCTAATTTTCCATAGGTCAAGGTTGCGATATTTGATAAAGTTTTTAAGATTATCTTGCGTTTTTCCCATGAACTATACCACATAGTTTCCGACTAAATGACATTAATCTAGAGGATGGTTTTTTCCTATCCAAAGTCACCCTTTGTTACTCATTTGTATCCTTTTTTTTCAATTACTTTTATGTTCGTGTTTGTGCGTGCGTGCATGGGCGGGGGTGGGTCTGTGTGTGCGGTGCGGATGCGCGCGCGTGCGTGTGCATGCTTGCATTCAGGCTTGTTATGAGAATGCAGCCAGCTTGCATGATGCGCAAAACGTTAGGACTTTTTTCGTAGAGAATGTCTTCATAGATGAGTTCAAATGACTATTAAGAACTGGATCTTTGATGGGAGGGATCCTTGTATCCATCTCTATGCAGATGATTGTATAGGCCTCATATACATGGCACAACTGGACATTGCCTGATGTAGGAGCCCATGAATGATGCAAATGCTCCTAGCCAGTGTTTAAAAACTGGCAAGTCCTGCTTGGACTCTCCCAAGTCACTTCGAACTTGCATCCTGCTGGTTCTGGATAACTGCTACTCCGCTTGAGTCTTGACTAGGTCGGCCCGAATCTTACTGAGTCCTCCTGGGTTTTTAAAAAAAAAGAAGAAGAAAATTCAGCTATTTTGTTTATGAGTCTTGACCTGTCAGATTTGGGAGACAGCTAGCCGGCTCGGACCCACCTCCTGCCCAGTTCCTTGCCCAGGTCCATGTTTTTAAACACTAGGAGGCCATATCCCTAATTCACCAGGAAGATTAGACAAATGCACCCATATCAGAACCTTGTGCAGGTTGGGCTTATTTGGCAGCATGCCTGGTTACCAGCCTTGGAAAATCAGGCAGGAACGAGCTTCATAAAGATTGTCAGGCCATAAGGCCTTCTCCAAATTATTCTTTGGGGCAATATGGACTAGGAGAAGTCCTTGATCCTTGTTTTTTTGGGACAATAAAATATCTCCATTCATTTCCAATTGCTGACAAACACTTCCTTAGGCAAACCCTATTGCATCTAAGGCCCGAGTTGCAGAGCACTTTCATTTGCATATCTCCATGGCTCTGCTGCCCTCTTCACAGTCCTCAAGGTCAATGCACTGTAGAAATTATATGGATGGCATCTAGGCGGTTCGATACATTCTTATGAAAACCAATCCTTGAACTTTTCTTGAGGTTGAAGGATATTGTTGGTCACCAGATGTTGATACTTTATGGGGAAGTGGAAGGCTGAGATTGTTTTAGGGGGTGGGGGGAGGGTAGGGGAGCATCTGATGCAGGGTGGGCTGGTGGGATTTGGGGACAGGCAGAGGAACAAAGAGAATTGGTAGGCATGAGTGATCCAGGTCATAGGGCTAGGTAGAAGGAAGAAGAACACAGCAGTTGCCAGAAAGAGGAATTGTAACTAAAGATACAAGGCTGAGAATTTAGGCAAAGAACTGGAGAAGCAAAGTGAAGTGCGGTCACAGTAATGGAATTTATTCCTCTTTTAATAGAAAAAGAAGTTAGTTGTTTGTACCTATTATGGTCATTACAAGTATTAACTTGCGAGAAAGTAGAATGCCATTTGGTTCTCTTTCTTTTCATATGATTATTATTACTTGAAAACAAATAGGTTCTAAAATGGCTGTTTCTTTATATTAAGTATCAATTTTTTATAATATTGACAATTGTTAACAAATATTATTAAAGATAAATCTTGTTCATCTTACAATATATTGGTGATTGGAGATATTAACTTTAATATTTGAGTAGAAAGTAGAATGTTACACACGACTAGAAAGTCGGGGACCTTTGGATATTTATAGTGAAGTTTATTTACTTATTTTGTTAAGGTAAAAAAAAAAAAAACTCCATTACCCTTTTTTCTATGATGTATACTTTCTCTTGAATAGATGAATTGTTATGTAGTACACTTCTAGGAATCAGGCTTGTGCTTGATGGTTTTTTTTTTTTGATGCTGTTAACATTGTATAGATGGAATAGGGATTACTAAAACATACGAAAACAAAGACAAGCCAAAAGTCATCGAGAGAAGTGACAGCTGGATGCAACCAGCAAAAGAAAAGAAACAGGGGCGACACGTGCCTACAGAAAGGAAAACACACAAGACCAAAAGAGAAGAAAGAGGAAAAAGGCAGTAGTTGATCCGTTATCTTGGTGGTAGTGGAGAGACAATTCCCTTTTTGGTTAGCTCATGTGCGATGTGGTTGGCCTCCCTCCAGTTATGTGTCTATGAGACTGGAATACGCCTGCAGCGGTCAAAAATCTCATTAAAGAATGCCCAGAGTCTACATGGAGGTGTGGAGGTTCTAGAGGCCCAAGAGATGACATTCTAAGAATCCCCTTCTACTAGGAGAGAGTGACCCCACGGGTAGTCGTAGTGTCTGAGTCCTTTGAGGAGGGCTCGGGTTTCCGCCTCTACAGAGTCGGCAACCCCTATGGGAAGTGAGTAGGCCAGTAAGGTCATGCCCTTGGAATTTCTAAAAATTCCTCCAATGCCTGCCAGGCCTGGGTTTCCTAGAGATGAGCCATTGAAATTGAGACTGGAATACGCCTGCAGAGGTCAAAAATCTCATTAAAGAATGCCCAGAGTCTCCATGGAGGTGTGGAGGTGCTAGAGGCCCAAAGTATGACATTATGAGAATCCCCTTCTACTTGGAGAGAGTGACCCCATGAGGAGTTGTAGTGTCTGAGTCCTTTAAGGAGGGCTCGGGTTTCCGCCTCTGTAGGGAAGTGAGTAAGCCAGTAAGGTGATGCCCTCGGAATTTCTAAAAATTCCTCCAATGCCTGCCAGGCCTGGTTTTCCTAGAGATGAGCTATTGAAATTGAGTTTGATGGTGCCCCTCTCAGGGGACCTCCATTGTGTTGAGCATGGTACCCTCTTCGGTTGGTGGAAGAGGATATTGGTCCAGTCGGTTAGGAAGTTGACTGTCGGTATGAGTCTGAAATGCTTCTTGTTTGTGGCCCAAAATATGACCGGGCCTCGAATCGTGTCCTTGGTCTTGTGCAGGGGAGACACGACACCCTGGAAGATCCTGTGGTTGCGTTCCTTCCAGATGGTCAAGAGGGTTGTAGCTACTGTAGCTTTCCAAAGTAAGGCTCCCATTCGAAACCAGGGGAGGAAAGTCGAGAGATTGTAGAGGTGTGTGACGCTTTCTTAGTTACCCATTCCCAATGGAACCAATGAAGTATAAATTCCCAAATAGAGGCTGCGAAGGGGCATTGAGTGAACAGATGGTCAATGGTCTCCTCTGCTGCTAGGCACATCACACATCGGTTCGGTGTTGGGATGTCCCTTGCCTGAATTTGGTCAATGGTGAGTATTCTACCTCACAAGGTTAGCTAGTTGAAGAGCTGGATTATAGGGGGGAACGGTGAATTCCAAGCTTTAAGAATGGAGTGGTGACAGGTGACAGTCCCTGTGGGAGATCTGGACAGAGCATGGAATAGAGAGCTCACCGAGAAGGACCTCGAGGATGAAGGTGACCAAAAGATGCAATCCTCCCCTTTGGGCAGAGTGGGGGAGGATGATAACAGAGAAGAGAGCTCCAGGAAGGCCTGCACTTCCGATTCGCAGAGAGGTCGGCGTAGGTCAGGACTCCAGGCTCTCGGGGAGGAGTCAGGTGGGAGAAGGGATTGCACTAAGGCGTAGGGGTCTCTGGCTAATCGGAAGACGAGAGGGAACATGGTAGAGAGATCACAGATCCCAAGCCAGGGATCAAGCCAAAAGCAAACTTTCAATCCGTCTCTAGGATAAAGCGGGATTAAGGATTCAAAGAGGGTGAGAGTGGGAGATGGATTTCTAGAAGCCCAAGACCCTTGGAGATAAGTGGTCAGGGATGAACCAAGGGGAGGAGGATAGCCGGTATTTATGGGTCAAGATGTTGTGCCACTGTTGTTCTATCTGGGTCGCCAATCTCCACCACCATTTGCAGAGCCAGGTTGGCGAATTTTAGGTTGCGGCCTACCCTCGGCTTTGGGGCGACACGTGCTTCCAAGCTAGAAAGGTTCTCATCAGTTGCTCAAGTTCGCTGTCGAACGGAAGCCGGCATATGAAACAGACACATTTGGTAGACTGCTAGACCCCTGAAAGGACAGCTTTGATGAGGGTTGTGCAACCTGCTGGGGAGAGCAATCTCCCTTTCCAAGAGGCCAGTGTCCTTTCGACTTTATCGACTATTGTTTACAGCATTACATCCCAAGTCCAATTCCTACGACTGAACTACCCAAAAAATTATATTTGTTATCAATAAATTCGTTACTTAAGTAGGTGGGTTGGGGTGTTGGGGGCTGGTGGCTGGGTTGATGCGCTAGGCTTTGAGGGAACTTCTAGTTCAAAGAAGAGAGAACAGTTCGTAACAAGGAAATGAGGAATGAGGCATTGTTGATCCAGGATAGGGAACCCTCAGATGCTGCAATAACCATAATACCATACTCCTTTTGCCAAGATGCTGCGAGCTGCCAGTGAAACATCTTCCCAAGAGTAACAACCTGGAAGTGTGTATCAACCCACAAAATAATTTTTCAGAGATCAACTCTCTAAACAAGTACTTTGTTCACAAGTTGCTTGCCCTTAGAAATTTCTTGGAGTCAAAATGTGAAACAGACCAGATTTCATGTCCACATTGCAAGTTGTGATCTGCAGAAGAAGCAGTTTAGTCACAATTTTATGAACCCCCTGAATTCCTTTTTTGACCCTACATTATCCGAACTACCTTTGAGTAACTAGGTATACATCCCCCCATTTGCAACCATAATTGCCCTCAAGAGCTTCAAGGATGACAGATGCTTTCACGGGCATTAATAACCGAGACACCCTTGGCATTTTGGTTTGTCATAGGACTCAAGTGCAAGTTATGCGAGGCAAAGCTGCACACTTTTGAGTCTTGTCAGTGGGAGTGCATCTTTTGCGTTGCAATCTGTCATCCCTGGGCTCCATTGTACAATTTCGAATTTCATTTAGATAGTTCAGATCTAGACTAAAGTAAGTGTTCAGACGAATAATAAATTGTTGTTATTCAGATGGTTGTAGTTCTGGTGGATGCTTTTAGGATTGTCTTTTACAATCTACCTGTTGAGGCCTAAACTATGATTGCTTGCTACAGCAGTCCAGCTGGAGGTGGTGTCTTTGTGACTTTTGTTGACCCTTTTTGATCCTGGTCTATATTTATGTGCATTCTTAAATTTTTTATTTATTAGTATTTGTATTTTGTGGCTGGTCAAAGTTAAATGAACCTTCACTTTACTTTCTAGGATTTGGTTTTTGTTAGGAATTTGACAGTTTTGATGCTTTGTAAAGTTTATTGCCAAGAGAGAGAGACAGATTCTGACTTCAAAGGAAATTTTTGTTATGCAGTTGGCCCAAAAGATACCCCTATGGACCTGGTTTTAGAGAAGACATACGATGCTGAAACTGGAAGAGGGATGCCCGAGCTTTGAGAATGACAGGGATTACACCCTCAAATTAGCAAGATCTATGCCATTATTGCACTACACTGAGACCCATTTCTTGAACAAAGAGCCTACCAGTTCCACACTTTCCTATCACTTGGTTGCTATTTTTATTTTTATTTTTGTTGGAGAAAAGGAAAGAGAGCGTGGACCGATAAACAGGTGAAGAACATGTTTGTCTGAATGTACATTGGACATCATGATTAATATTGTTCACAGTAGTGTGACACTTTGTATGAGCTAACTGTTTCAAATTTTGTTCCTCAAAACAAATCCCGATACCGTTCTGAAGATTATTTTGCGAAGTCGAATACTTACCAATTTTCTTGCCAGTACCTTCTTGTTATTGTCTGCACTATCTAGTGATGGGAGAGTATGCTTTGGTCGATGTGATCATGGCCATAAGGTCATTACCATCTCTAATCAATCGGTTGAATGGTGATGGGAAGTCGGAAGTGTAGTTAAACTGATGGAGTTTTTGGTAGACCTGCACCCCCCATTACCGTTCAACGTATTACTGGTATCCTTATGGCTATATATAATTACCGCGACCATATGGATTGTTGTATACTTCCCCTTCATTATTCATTTATTTATTATTTGATTGGTGTTTACTTTTCATTCGTATTTGTTTTTGGGGTAATTCAATGGGGAATATAGGCATTACCCATTTTTTTAAATGATCAAATTTTCAAAGCTGCAAGTCGGATTGGAGAGCACGATGTGCGACTAAAGTATCGGACGTGCTATCCATTCGTACTGCAATCTGACCTAGTAGACTTCCTCTTGATATGATGAACGGATGTAATTGATGCACTTGACGCTAATTTGGTTAGGGTTGCTGAATATACTTGAGGAAAACCTTACTATTGAAGTAAGGTACACCTCAAAAATCCTTTAGAAGATAGTGTTTTGATGTGGGAAACCCTCCAATTTGATCATCTTGCCTTCGAGAAGTATGGGTATAAAGAAAAAAAAAATTGAAGTCTTAAAAATATTACTTGTTACAAATTAAATGGTGGTCTATTTTCAAGTATTTATAGATTCACTTGATATGTATCATTTTTGGAATTTCAAATTTTATTATTAAGGATGAAATTGAATTGTTAAACCATTATAAGATTTTTGACATTGAAACTACATCTCCAAGAAAAACCACATCTCCCTGAAAATTTTAGAAGTGCACACCTTATTTCAATATAAGGATGGCCCCTTGTACAAACCTCCCCTATACTTAAATCCTTGTTACTCCTATCTGGTTTACATTTAGGGTAGACCCACTCCCAACAATATTTCATATTGATGGATGTTTGATCTAGAGATACTATTTTGATGTTGAAAATTTTGAACTATCCTTTCAGAATATGATATTATGCTTTGTTAGGTAGTGTTGCTTGGAGTATTGATTGTCCTAAAAGAATGGGAAGCAAGTTGTTTGCCATCAAAAAATTTGACCAGAGATTCCTGCTATTGGTATTGGGAGAAAGTGAAATTTGGTATTATACGGTTTCTTTCATTTCAAAAATGCTAGCCACATTTTTTTTTTTTGGTTAAAATTTGGCTCATGTTGATTCTTTTGCTATGTCTCTATGTGTGCGTGTGTGCATGTGTGTACCTGCGTGCGTGAGATAGAATAGTCTAAGCCCAATGACCCATATTGAATTTGGGTCGATCTTCACGACTGCATTTTGAAGTTGAATTTAATAGTTTTTTACAAATCTAAATCATATAAAATTATGAGCTTTTCCTTTTCTCATTGAGACACACCTAACAAAATATTAAAATAATAATTCAAAAAAATAAATTAATTGATCAATATATTTTTTATGAATTATTTTACTAAATTCACCAACTTTTCAAGAGTATACGTTCCAAATTTCAAGTGATTTGGATTTGTAAAAATATTAAAATTTAAATACAAAATGCAATAATGACTATTAAATTACCCTAGATTTAATCTGGACCGTTGGGTCTTAGTTATAGTTGTCAGGTAGGTTGACCTCAACTCTCTCTCTATATAT